AGCGCCGCTTGAGGCGGCCACTCAGCCTCTCCTCCAGCCCTCGGCGTCTATCTCGAGCGCTCTGGTGGAGCGCGCGTTGCTGCTCCGCGACGTTCAGTCCTTCGCTGCGAAGGCCGAGTTGTCCCCGAGCACGGTGGACATGGAGGTGGCGCAAGTTTTAAAAGATCGTATCCGTGGAGCCCTGGACCAGACCATCCATGAAACTCGCTCGGCTTCTCAGGCGTCCTGGAAGCAGTGGGTTTCGGAAGGGTTCAATAAAGGGGCCAAGCGAGCCCACTTGGTTACTCGTGATCCTAAATTCTTTGTGCCCACCTCCACCCTCATTGATGGAGACCGTGTTGTTAGCGACCCCCACAACCTTCTTCAGCGTGAGGAGAGCAGGTTCAAGGCCCTCTGGAGGGCCCAGGTGTCGGCCCCGACCCCTCCCGCCACCTTCGATCCTGCCCCTGATCTCCCTCCCATCAGCCCTGATGAGATAAGGAGTGTCTGTGGGAAGCATAAACTTTTCTCGGCCGTCTCGACGGACGGTTTCCACATCCGCCATTTTGCCTGGCTGTCAGAAGCCAGCTTGCAGTGCATGGCTCTCATTATGCAGATGATGGAGATCTCCTCTTTTCTCCCTTCTCACATTCGGGTGGTCATCCTTCACCTGATCCCCAAGGCTCTTCCAGGTCTCAGGCCCATTGGTTTGTTCGGGGGCCTTTATCGGGCCTGGGCTAAAATTCGGAGGCCGCTTGGTTTGGCCTGGGAGGAGGCCAACTACAGGCCTTGGTTTGCCGCGGGACGTTTTATGGGAGCTGCTGACACGGTGTGGCGACAAGCTGCACGGAGTGAAGGGGGGGTGGCCGCTGGCCTCTTTGCCGTCACTCTGCTGTGGGATTTTCAGAAATATTATGAAAGCATCGATCTCGACCGTATGCTGGGCAGGTGTCTGCTTTTGGGCTTTCCCGCTGCGGTGGCGCGTCTCTGCTGTTCAGCGTGCAGATGTGCGCGACACATCGTGTTAGGTGGCTTCATGACGGATGTCATTTTCGCCGGCTTCGGCATCGTGGCCGGCTGCTCTTTTGCAACGACGCTTATTCGAGTCAACAGCCTGGAAGCCCTCGACCAGATCGAATGGCCCATTTGTACTACGTACGCTCTTTATATTGACGACAACGCAGTTCACGCCATTGGATCGGAGGTCGAGGTGCTCGAAGGGCTGGTCTCCGCCAGTTCGCAGTTGGTCGTCGCCATCTCTGAGGGGATCGGCGCCACCCTGGCCGAGGACAAAGGGGCTCTAATATCGTCCGACAGGAAACTTGGCTGTAAGGTCCAGGAGGCCATTGGGGTGGCCCTCGCGGGGCCTTTGGTTTCTTCGGCCCCGAATTTAGGCGTCGACGACACGGTCGGTCGCCCATTTCGTCAGCAAGGTCGTAATGCTAAAGCCAAAGCCCGTCGTATCAAGGCTTCTCGTCGTGGTAAGCGCGTGGGGAGACTCGCTCGCACGGTCGGACGCAAGGCTCGAAATGTCTGGTGCTCTGGGGTCCTTCCTGCTGCCACTTACGGCGCCGAAATCTCAGGGATTTCCGACGGGGAACTTTTGGCTTTAAGACGGTCTTTTGCCAGTACTATCAAGCCGAGTGCGGGTGACCGCTCGCTTTCGATTCTTCTGCATCTGGAAAAGGACCCCACCTGGGCGGTTCAGATTGCTCCAATATGTAGGTGGCATAAGGAACTCTGGCACGCCCATTTGTCCTCTCACCCCTCGGTTTTGAGTTTTGCTGAAATGAGAGAAGCGTGGGGGTCGGTTTTTGGTTTGGAATCCAAGTCTTGGAGATCTGTTTCAGGTCCAATCTCAGCCATGAGGAAAAGTCTCGAGAGGATCAGTTGGCAGATGCCCAACTTCGCCACGCTGATCGACGATCGCGGCGTGGAGCTGCCGTTGCTGTGCCTGTCGCCTGCTCTCGCGCGCCGTCTCGCCATGGAGGCGGTTTTCAGACAGCTGGAGTGGATGATTGGAGGTAAGCTTTCTCTCCCTGGTCGGGGCTGCCTCGATGTCGTCCATGAAGCTCTAGCTACCAAACGTTTTTCTCCGCTTGAAAAGGGCATTATCCGAGCCTGGAGCACGGGTGCGGTGTGGACTCGCACCTACGCCAGGTCCAAAGGGTACGAGTTCCCAGAGTTTTGTGAGTTGTGTGGGAAGGCTCGTGACACTTTGTACCACAGGTTATGGGTATGTCCTTGTTTGGACGCCAAACGTCGTGAAGCTGTGGGGGATGATATCGTCGACGGGGTGACGGACTTCGTTTCGCAGGGAAGACATCGCTTGACGCTGGTTACCCGAGGCATCCTGGCTCATCCTGGTGACGAACACCCCCCCCCGCTCGAAGAGGGTTCCTGGGACGTCTCGTGGCGTGGGGACCCGCCTTCAGACAATGTTTTCAGCCTCCAGGGGAAAGTTTTTGTTGACGGTTCCTGCTCTCGGCACGTTATAAAAGAGCTGAACCGTGCGGCCTGGTGTGCGGTTTTGTTTTCCGACGAAGATAAGCTGCTGTGTACTATGAGATGCCCTGTGTGGGCCCCGCTCCCTCAGACCCCTCAGGCCGGCGAGTTTTCGGGATACTGGGGGGCGGTTATGTGTCTCACTGGCCCCAGCTCGATCATCACCGATTGTGCCAACGTTGTTACCCAACATGAGCTTCCAAGGGATGCTCAAACCTTTTTCAAACGTATGTACTCTGGTGTCTTTGTTCTGCTGTTGTCCAGGCCCGAGCGTCGTCACATTCGTGAATTGCTCAAAATTAAGGCTCACCAGTCCTTGGCTGAGGAAGGCATCTCAGCTCAGGAGGAAGCCGCTCGTCTGGGGAATCACTTGGCCGACCAAGGGGCCAAGGAGGCCCTTGCGTTTCATCCCTCAGACTCGAAAGTGCTGGAAGAAGCTAACGAGTGTGTGAAGTTTGCCAGGGCTGCCTGCAAGCTCGCGGCTAAGTTGCTGCCAGAGTTTGCAGCTCTCAGCTCTATCAAAGATGTGCCTTACCTCCCTGTGGTGAACGTGCCCAAAGCTGCTTCTGGTAACGTTCACAAGTGGTTTAGGTTTGAAGGCTTTTGGCGCTGCTCTCGGTGTTTCCAGATTCGTCGGCCTCGGGACGGTTCGAAACCCCTTCCTGGTCGTTGTTCTGGTTTAAAAGCCTGCAGTGCCGACAAGCTCACCGCCCTTCAGCACAAGTGTGTGATGTTCCCGTGCAGTGACGGGTCTGAGCTTGTGATTTGTATGAAGTGTAAGTTTTACTCCTCCCACGGTACCCTCCGTGGACTGGCTGCTCGCTGCGACCCCCCTCCCAGTAAGTTCGGAGTCTGGGTTTGGCAGCAGATCTGCAAGAGCCGTCACCCTAAGAGAAAGGGGGTGGTGGTGCAGTTGGGAGTTAATCTTCGTGACGGCTCTAATCTGTTTCAGGACGAGTTGCCCACGGCTGTGAGTGAACCCGTGCCCCCTCCTCCTCATCCGCCTGCTGCCCCTAGACCCATGCACCCGCTGCGTGAGTTGGCAGGTCGTTTGAGGAAGGAAGAGAAGGCAAGCGAGTTCCAGGCCAGGGTTCGTCGTCTCTGTATCGCGGCTGGCGCCGCTCCGTCTGTCCCCAGCTCGAATCCCGACGCTGATCAGGACGACTCAGATTAATAGCCGCTCTATTTTTGTATTGCTCTGGTCGAAGGTGCTGCACTTGTCTCACGTTTGTCCAGACAGGCGTTTGGCCTCGGGTTCCCAATCCTTCAGGGATTCGGAGCCTGCTTTTGCCTCGTCGCCTCCCTTCGCCCATCTGTTTGAGGGTGATTGCAAGGCGCCTTTTCTTGTTGCAGGCTGCAAGCGCCATGTGCAGCCTGGGTGCAAGCCCCAATGCGGGACAGATAAGGTGGTTGAAGCCTCAGGGGGAAAAAAAAAATCCTCCTTATCCACCAAGGCTGTGCGCGAGAGGGGGTCGGGGGGAACGCGAGGAGGGTGGTGGCCTTGCCAGAAGGCGGGCCCCGCTTCTGCAGAGGCGGGGGCCTTCGAATGGGAGGCCGCCCCACCCCCGCCCCCCCTCGCGCTGCGCACGCATGCGCGCGGGCAGTCCTCCTCGCGCAGCAGGCACACCAGATACGAAGTTGCCCATCGCAAGTCGGCTCGTGTGAGGTTCCCGGTCTGACTGGCGAGCTTTTGATTCGCACAGTGCAGGGCGGAGCTGACTTGCTCCTCGCTGATCTGCGAGGCGAGACAAGAGACACACCAGGTGAGAAGTGTGCCTGCCAGCAGGTGCCTCTTGGAGTTCTCTGGGGGTACGCTGCGAGGCCCCAGGCCGACCGAGCAGCGTGCCCCCTGGATGTCTTGCAGCAAGATCTCCTAACGTATGTGGGGCGCTCCAGGAAGGGCCGCCTCCTCCTCCTCCTCCTCCTCCTCCTCCTCCTCCTGACCCACTCCTCCTCCTCCTCCTCCTCCTCCTCCTCCTCCTCCTCCTCCTCCTCCTCCTCCTCCTCCTCCTCCTGCCCCCCTCGAGGATCGACGGAGTTGGCGTCCCTTCCTCGACGGACGTCGGCGGAATGTCCGCGGAGTGCGGCGGACGGAGAACGCGGGGGCGGCTCCGCCGGCGGAAGCCAGCGGAAGGCCGGCGGAAGCCGGTGGAAGTCATAGGTACCCCCCCTCCCAGACCTCCTCGCGTTGTGAAAAAATCACGACGGAAGGTTTTTCGCTACTTTCGGCCTCTGGGGGCCCTCGCCGGGCCTCGGGACCGTCGAAAAACGATTCAGGACGAGAAACCGGTCCAGGGGAAGGGGTCCATAATTCTGGGGGTCGACGTTGTGAAAAAATCACGACGTCGGGGGTCTGTGCTTGAAGAGATGGAAGCGGCCCCAGGGCCCTCAGCGGCCCCAGGAGGTGGGGAGAGCAGGGGAGGGAGGCCGGCGCAGCGAACGCTCCCCCCCTCCCATCTCCGCCCCCCTCCAGGGCCCCTCTCCGCCCCTGCCCCCGCCTCCTCCTCCCTGCCAAGGCCCCTGCGGATGCCCTACAAGGCGCACTTTGTGGGCTCCATGCTCGACCACTGCGAGCGGGCCCGCCCCCCGCGCCCGCGCGCCGAGCGGGCCAGCGCGCCCAGCGGGCCCTTCTTGGGTGGCGGCCCGCTTCGGCCACCCCAGCAGGCCCCCAGCGGGCCCCCTGAGAAGCTGCAAGCCATGCTTTCAGGCGGGGCGAGAGGGAGGAACGGGAGGCAGGGGAGAAGAAGGAGGAGCCTCGAGATCCGGGGCCGTTCTCTCACACCCGGCGTGTTTTCGCCAAGCCTCGGGCCCTGGGGCCATGACGGACCGAGGCCGCTGGAAAAGTGCTGCCAGCTGCTCCAGTCTTGGCTTCCCGCGATGCTGCAGTGTTTCGCAGCCTCGGATCGAAGCCCGCGCGGCGCGCCCCCCCTCGGTGTCCTCTCGCGGCTGCGCGGCGCGCGGCAGGGCGGCGGAGATGTTCTCGTGGACGGCGTGCTGCGCCCCAGCTCCGGGCGAGAAGGCCCTCGGCCTCCTGGATGGGGTCGGAGTAGGCGGGGTCGGAGGATCGCGCCGCATCGCCGAGGCATCGCCGATGCGGCTCGATGTGGGGCCCAAGATCTGCTTCACGTCGACGTCACCGCTGCGCCGGAGCATCACCAACCCAGACCCCTGAGGTCGTGATTTTTTCGCAACGTCGACCCCCAGAGGTCTGGACCCCTTCCCAGGGACCGGTTTTCCATCCTGAGTTGTTTTTCGACGGTTCCAAGGCCCGGCGAGGGCCCCCAAGGGCCAAAAATAGTGAAAAACCTTCCGTCGTGATTTTTTCACAACGCGAGGAGGTCTGGGAGTGCATCGCCGAGGCATCGCCGATGCATCGGCCATGCGGCGCGAGCCTCCGACCCCAGCTGCGCGACCCCATCCAGGAGGCCTCTCGAAAGGCGGAGGTGGTGCAGACGCGGACCGTGCTGGGCGCTCCCAGCCCGCGCACCGCGATGAACCAACGGCTGGACCAGGCTGCCAAGGAGTCTCGAGGAGGAAAAGGTATACTCCTCCTCCTCCTCCTCCTCCTCCTGCTCCTCCTCCTCCTCCTCCTCCTCCTCCTCCTCCTCCTCCTCCTCCTCCTTCTCCTGCTCCTCCTCCTCCTGCTCATCCTCCTCCGCCTCCTCTTCCTCCTCCTCCTCGTACCCATACCGCTACCCCTTCGCCTGTTTTCCCCTTTTGTCGGCCTCCTTGGCGGCCCTCGTCGCCACCGCTGGGTTCGCCTCGAGATCCTGGTCATGACGCACCCCGGGAAAGGTCTGGGGAGTGCTGGTATCGGTGCCTGTGGATCTCCCCAAGGATTGCGCATACGACAGGGACAGGGGACTCTCGATGGAGTCTGTGGGAGAGCTCGACCTATCCGCGATCACGCAGCAGACCTCTGGCGACGAGAGGTTCCCGCGCTGGAGCCCGCTGGACAACAAGGGCCCTCGCATCGGGGAGAGGGAGCTCCCTCTGCCGTCCTGCTTCGAGGGTGTTCGACTACACGTAAGAGTGACCCTTCGCCGCAGTGGCCTTTGGTGCGGGCTCATCGGGCCCCCCCCCCGATCGCTCAGCGCGATGCGATATGGCGGCTGGCTGCGCGCTTGGATTTGGCTACCTTGCGCCCCTTGAGCCCGCGCGCCAAAGGTCACTCCTGCCTAGGGTCCCTCTCGCGTGCAGCCGAGGTGTGGCCGATGCGTCGCCGGCCGGCTGGACCCACCCTAGGGGCGACACGACCGGGATGGACGAGTCGCAGACCAGGGAGGAGCGCCTGAGCGCGCAGGTGCGCGCGTTCGTCAAGAAGGCCCAGCTGGGCATTTGTGTTCTCCTTTGCGACGCGGAGAGCATGCTGCTGTCCCAGTGCCTCTTCAAGACGGACGAGCTGCTCACCACGCTGACCCTGCAGACCGCGCTGGCCAGGCAGCAGGACTTCGAGCTGAAGGACCTCAGGGCCGTCGTGAGGGGCGAGGGCGTCAAGAAGCGGGCGCCCGGCCTCGCCCGGGCGGCGGGAGAGTGCCTGCTGCTGGTGTTCGGGGACGCCTCGGAGGAGACGCTGCACTGCCTCTTCTTCCGGGACGCCCGCGACCGCGACGAGTTCTACACCAACATGAAGGTTGTCCGAGTGATGGCCTCGCGCGCAACGCTGTAACGCATTCCAAACGCGTGTTTCTGCTCTGCGCTCTCTCCAAGGCCACGGCGTCGTGAGCCTGCTGGGGCATCTGGCCTCGTCCCTCGCGAACAGCAGTCTCGCGTCGAAGGTAAGCAATCCCGCGCCAGTAGTAACTGTCTGGCTACTTGCGGCAACCCCCGCCACCATGCCAAAGCAGCAAGGCAGCAGGAATGAGGAGCTTTAGACCCGCTCCGATTCGGTGCCCTGTCTGAACAGGCGCGGGCCTTGAACACCACCTCCTCGTCTTCGGCTTCGTCGTCCTTCTTCTTTCCCCTCCCTCTTTCTTCTCCCTCCTCCTCCCTGCTCCCTTCTTCCTCCTTGCCCGCTCGAAGGAGGTTTGGGCGCGACGGTGCCGCAGAGCTCTCCAGAGGAGGCTCGGCGGCACGTCGGGTCTTGAAGCCGTTCGGGGGCTGACTCGAATCGTCTTGGGAGCTTCTCAGGCCGTCTTGGGGCCGTCTTGAGGCCGTCTTGGGCTTGTCGTGGGCGGTCCTGACGTCACTGTTAGGCTGAGAAGTATTGAGGGCAAACGAGATTGAAAGACCGATACGCGTTCAACTCCGTTTGCCATCGTGGGTCCTCTTGGGGGGATCTTGGGGTTCGTTGGTGCTTGATGAGGGCTGTCTTGAGCTGGGCTTCGTCCCGAGGCGGTCTTGGGCCGTCTTGGAGCTCTCTTGGGTCAATGAGGGTCGATGTCGCACCCAGAAGGCTACACGGGCCCTACCGGACAACTGGCAGGAGTTCTGGCACTCACCAAGGCAGGGTCCGCTTCGATGATCCGATTCGATGTCGATTCCGGCTGGCCCCAGTGTTCCGACGATCCGATGAGGCCCGATGCTTGCATGGTGCTGTTGTGCAGCCTGGCGCGGCCGATCCGATTCGATTCGGACTCCGTGCCGATGCGGCCCGATCCGACGCGCGTACCGATCCGGTACAGTTTCCTTATTCGGCGTTGACTGATCCTGCAACTTTCTGAGGGCACGGTGGCGGACACCTGTTCGTTAGTATCCCCGCTCATGCTTGAGCCTTGCCGGCTCTTCGATGAACAGATCGAATATCGTTTCTCCCATGCTGCCAGCGCTGCAGCCCTCCATGGGCGTTTTAATTTGCAGCCAGCCACGAAGCGAAGTGGCCAGGATGGTCAGAAGTTATTGACAATCCTCGGCGGACCACTCCAGGATGTTCAACAGCGGTTCAACATTCTGATATATTGGACTTGTTGTCTACCACTCCCAGGGCATAATGGACTTTGTTCACTGTTCCCACGGAGTAGCGGGACCCTGTTTATTATTCCCAGGGTATCCTGGGCCCCATTTCGTTACTCCTAGAGAATAACAGGCCCCTGTCCGGTATTCCCAGGGAGAGATGGGCCCCTGTCCGTCAGTCCCAGGGAACAGCGGGCCCTTGTTCGCACTCCCAGGGAATATTGGATCCCTGTCCGTAGTTCCCAGGTCATAACGGACCCCTGTCCGTCATTCCCATGGAGTCATGGCTCCCCGCTCATTCTTCCCAGGGAAGAATTGACCCTTGTCCAGTGTTCAGAATTCTTCAGGACAAACTGAGCCCTTTCCTCCGCTCGCAGGCAATATCGGACCCCTGCTCATGTATCCCCAGGGGAAGTGGACCCCCTGCTCGTTATTCCCGAGGAGTAGCGCACCCCTGTTCATCCCAGGATGCGACGGACCTCTCTTGAGCACTCCTGGGGAATAAAGCCCAGGGACTCATGGACCCCCATCGATTTTCCCTTTTCATTATCCAGCTGTCCACGGCAAACCCCGCCCCCGTGCCTTTGCAGCAGCGCAGCAGGACGGAGGTTGAGTACAGGAACAGCGCAATTCTAACGAGCAGGCTGAATCGGGACGGGTCGTGAACTCGACCTCATTTTCGTCCGCGCGGTAGAAACGAGGCCGAATTCACGCCCCGCGGCAGTTCAGGGACTGGTCTGAACTGGGAAGGAACGTGATCTCGACCTCGCCTTCTTCCGCGCGATAGGGAGGAGGAGGAGGAGGAGGAGGAGGAGGAGGAGGAGGAGGAGGAGGAGGAGGAGGAGGAGGAGGAGGAGGAGGAGGAGGAGGAGGAGGAGGAGGGAGAGAGTAAAGACAATGTCGGCAAAGGCCTCTTAAGGGGCTCTCTTGGGGCCTCCTGGGGGCCTCCTGGGGGGCCTCTCGGGGGCCTCTTGGGAGCATCCTGGGGCCTCTTGGGGCCTCTTGGAGCCCTTGGGCCGTCTTAGGGAGGCTCTTGGCCCGTCTGACGCCTTCGGAGGCCGTCTTGGGGGCCTCTCTCGGCCGTCTTGGTGCCATCCTGGAGCTCTTTAGGGCCGTCCTGGGGCCCTCTTGGGAGCCTCTTGAGCGATCTTGGGGTCCTCTTGGGCCGACTCGTGGCTCTCTTGGGGGCCTCGTGGGCTGTATTGGAGCTACATTGAAGGCCCCTTGGACCGTCTTGGGCGGTCGTAGACCCGAACAGGCGAGAACCTCAAAATCTTACAAACACCTACGACAATCAATGGTTTGGGACTTCTCGGTGGAGGACCTCTTGGAGCCCTCTTGGGCCGTCTTGGGTCTTTAGGCTGTCTTGAGAGCGTCTTGCGCCGTCTTGTGCCATCTTGAGCCGTTTGGGTGTCGTCTTGGCTGCCTTGGAAGCCATTCTAGATGCCATCTCGACCGTCTGGAGGCCGAGCGGAGCGCCAGGGAGCAATCTTAGGGGATGCGATCTTGGGAGCATGCGCGCGATGCAGTGGGGGTCAGGCTCCGAAACTAAACAACAGAAGCAGCTCCCAGGCAGCAGACAAGCACTCTAACACGACCACTCCGTGCAGGCACGGTGGCGGACTTCGGGGAATAGCGAATCCCCTGCTCATTGTTCTCATGGATTCGCGGACCCCAGTCCATCATTCCCAGGGAAGGGCCGACCCCTTGTTCATGATTCCCAGGGGATCACGGACCCCTGTTTACTAGTCCGAGGGAGTGCTCGACCCTGCTCATGGCTCCCAGGGAAGATCGGACCTCTCTCCATTATTCCCAGGGAGTAATGGACCCCTGTCCTTTTGTCCGAAAAGGAATAAGTAAACCTTGTCCATTTTTCACAGTGAGTAACGGACCCCTGTCCAGTATGCCCAGGGAATAATGAAAATGAGCTCGATTCGGTTTGGGGCCCGTTCGTTTCGGCTTGTGGCCTTTTCGGCTTCGGCCCGTTTCGGCATCAGCCCGTTTCGGCTTCGGCTCGTTTCGCCTCGGCTTTTTTCGGCTCCGCCCGTGTCGGCTCCGCCCGTTTCGAATAGAGCCAGTTTTGGCTTGGACCCGTGTTCGCTTCTCGGCCCGGGTGCGAGCGCTAACTTGGAAGCCGAACCCCGCTGAAGCCGAAACGGGCCGGAGCCGAAACGGAGCCGGGACGAAGCGGGCCGGAGTCGAAACGGACAAGGCCGAAGCAGGCCGAAGCTAAAACGCCCGGGACGAAACTTGCCGAAGCCGAAACGGGCCGAGACGAAACGGGCCAGAGCCGAAACGGGCCCTGGGCCCCACTTCGGCTTTGGCCCCTCGGAGGAGTCCGAAACTGGCTCGGGAGCCCAAACGTGGTTCTGGAGTTTGTGGAGGAGGAGGTGCCCCTAGCACCCTTATTTTGACCCCCACTGACAGCAAACCAAGAAAGCGTTAACAGGGAACACAGCAAGGGTTCCACGACTGCACGACCAAAGGTTACCGAAAGAATTGCGTATGAACGAATTCTTCACGCTTCGCGAATCCCCATCAACCAGTTCAGGAATCCTGCCCATGAGAGCTGATGGGAAAAGGGACGAAGAGACACATACTGAAACAATGCGGGCAACCAGGATGAACAGAGAGATCTCTAGGGGCAAGGGGGTGTTCTTGCAGGGAATCTTCGGGCCATCCCTGAGGCCCTGGGGGGGCGAGGGGAGTACGAGTATGAGGAGGCAAACCGCCTCTTAGGGCCCTCGTGGGACGCTCTTGGGGCGCTCTTGGGCGCTCTTGGGGCCGTCTTGTGGCCCTCTTAAGGCTATCTTGGGGCCCTCTTGGGATCCCTGGAGTGCCTCTTGCGGCCATCCTGGAGGCTATCGATCAAAGGAGGGGGTGTCTCTGATTTGCCTCCCCCCTCCTGGGTCCATCAAAATCGCCACTTGGGGCGCTCTTGGGCGATCTTGAGCGCGCTTGGGGCCGTTTCGGGGGTCTCTTGGGCCCCTCTTGGGACTCTCTTGGGCCATCTTTGTACAAGCTTGAGGCCTCAAAAAGCGCATCGGAAGCGAGAAGGTGAGAAGGCAACAGTCGGGCCGAACGAAAGGGGGGGATAAGGAAAGGGGGGGGGACGACATCTGCTGCATGCAGCTGATTTCGGCCCCGCCGCCGGGCCCATTCCTCGATACTTACATGGGCCCTCCCGGCGCTGGGAGGCGCTGGGAAAATTAGCTACGTGAGCTGATTGTCTACCCTACCTTTGCTATCCCCCCTTTTCGTTCGCCCCGAACATTCATTGTCTTTTCTCTCGGTGTTTGAAGGACTGTGGCCTCTGGGAGGGCCCCCGATGGGGCCTCCGAGAGCACCTGGACTTGTGCTTTGGGCCTCGCCGGGCCTCTTGGAGGTAATTGCGTCGGAAGCTATCTTGAATCATCTTCTGCTATCTTCAGCCGCCTAGGAGGCCATCTTGCATAGCGCCACCATCGCAGCGCGGATTTCGTACGGAAAACGATAGGATGGGCTCGGAGTGTCCTGGAGAATTTCGTTCCGGACTTCGAGGTTAATTTCGTGCGATCTTGTTTGTGGCCAAGAATGAAAACTAAAACGAATCCACGCGAAATTCACCTAGTTTCTCTCCCGCCGTTCTGGGGTTTTGCATTGACAGAAATCCATGCAAAAATCCGCTGCAGCTCGTCTGCAAGGTCGGTGCAGTGACATCTTGGAGCATCGGAGGCCCTCTTGGAGCCATCCATCTCGGGCGAAAAGGACCCTCTGACACATCGCGGCCCCCGCCGA